ACTTTACGACATTTCGACTTTACAATGGTGCCACAGCGATGCGCCCTCAGTCTCTGCAGCGATCGGGAACTTGGACATCTCATGAAGTGTTTGGTAACGTGTCAGAAGGTGACGATATGATGCTAATATAAAAGATTTACAAACTTTTAAAACAAATGCAGATCCTATTGTTTGCTATAAAGATTATTTATGATGAAGGAAAGAAACAAACCGTCAAGTCAAAATTTGGTATCCTTTTGAAAATGCAAGCGTCTGTTCCTGAACCATCAGTGTCGATGATCCATTGCCTTCTACGAGCCATGCTCGCGAACGCGAATCATCACGAAAAAGAAATTGATGACCCTGTCGCTATGGCGTCCTCCGTAGTATCATCTTCCAGCAATTAATGGTAACTTTTCAATTATTGGCATTTAGTTAATAACAGTAATTATTTGTTTATTTACGTATTAGATGACAGCAGTTATTAACTTACGTATTTATTTATCATATTATATTCATATTCGACTTACGATGGCTTCATCTGACGATGAGTTCGTCTGAAAGTAGCCCCGTCGTTCGTCCCAACGTAATCCCAAGGAGCATCTGCACATCATGGTTTTTGGCTCTCCCAAAAATTACGACACTGAAGAAAATGCGACTAACTGCACTGGTTAAAGTAGTGGAATATAAACTGGCTGAACTTGATGGTGGACATTGCGTGTGTAATCGACAGAGGGGCAAATGGCTTTTCCAGAGTCGGCTTTGCCAGTAATGATGGCAACCAATGGCAGTGCTGAAGCGGAACTTATGACACTTGTCGACTATGTTCGGCAGCACAAAGCCAGATCTACATGCTGGAGCAAAGTTCTGGGAAACGATACCATGTTGAATCAGGCAAGTTTTCTTTCTCATTCGTTTTTGTTGAATTACTTTTCGCATACAGTTTATTGTATTACCGGTGGCATATTTAATGCTTATTGTGTCATGTCAGCAACACTTAAACAAAAATTAAATTTTGACTTGTAAAATCATAAAGTTAAGGTGAACTTTTTCATTTGTCGCAGATACTCCTTGCATCAGAATTAGCAAATAAACAAGGAACTACCTCAAATTGTTGAGTATATGCTATAACAAAACATTGAAGATCTCTGAACTGGCCATAATTCATTAATTTGCTTCGTTTCCTGTGTTGAAAGTATGAGCGTTACATTTCATCCACAGGAGCACCGTGTGAAATAAGACATTCTATTATATCAGGTGATATAACCAAAGTCTTAGGTAATTTAAGTGTGAATTGCCATTGGTACAAATGAGAAAGTTAAGGATAAATTTTTTTAAACCTATACCGGATAGCTCGCCAGTCCTTGTTATTGCAAGGTCTCATAATGCATAGGTCCCTTTGGGTTTTAATATTCAAATGCTAGTTCAGCAAAGAAACCTGACTATTACGTCATGTACATGACACTCCTATTGAAGTGAGGGCCTGGAAATTATGCAAGAGCCGGTAAGTTGAGAAAGGTGGTGGACAACAAGAAGAGAGATGAAACTCTCATAAAGTGTTCCCATTCTCTGAATCCATTGGGAAATTTGCGTCTTGAAACGAGATCAACGACTGTTCGTGAGGATGGAACCCCGAATGGACTGCCAAACTGCTACTCACCGAAACAGACTCAATACTCAACAGAAAATTCGAGGAGTGTCAAATTGCTTTCGTGTTGTTTTCATAACAAAAAGATGTAGAAAAAGAAAGAATTCCCACGACACATATTTTACCATCTACCCTCCCTGTTGTCATCATTGGGAGCGCTCGAACCTCAAAATATGCATTTGGAATATCACGGAGAGGTATGGTAGAAGAAATGTTCCTGAGCTGCTGCGGTTGTAGTGAAGGCTTGCTATGAGCCAAAAACTGAGTAAGCGAGGCAAAACTAATTGCTGCTGACAGAGCTGCCTAAGGCTTTTAAACGAGTCACTCTGAGAGAAGCATACTTTCTGAAAGAGGCAACCGTTCGCAATATTACCAACGGAAAACACGTGAGCGTTTTTCCCCATGTTGTACACCACTGAACAAGGAATGATGGTTGATGGTCAAGACGAAACGAATTGATGGAGGAATGATACATAATAGGTGGCATTCGAACAGGGCCAGAATGTAGCTCAGATAGAAAAATTTGGGAAATATGGCCTAATAAAATGACTTAAATTTATACTACCGATTGTCATACTTGAACTAGAGTACTAGAGTAATATTTCATCCTAATTTGTCAAAGATGATGACATTTGAAGTGAATAACTGAACCCTGAGCCTCAATTTTTTTGTACCATTAAGATATGCAAGAAAAAGTCTTTTTCCATTTTACGCATGACAGCATATTGTTTTTAAGTTATTGGCTATCTGTTTAGTGTGATATGCAAATGTCGTCAGTAGCATGTTTAACAAGTAAGTCATTTAGTGATAGCCGAACTACTGCCGTCATTTGATTTGCCAGTGTTTCGTCGGTGAACGAATGGCGATCAGGAAAGGTGAGAAGGTACGGTAGAGGCAGATACGGCGTGCTTGCTGAGATAATCACTTTGAACCGTTTGCCAAAGCAGAATCGCTATGGTTTGTGACGTCCGCTACGGTTGGCTTCGTCGCATTTGTTTTTGCTACAATGTACCGAAAGAAATATTCCTCACTATAAGCAGATTTGTCCCTCTCTTGTTCCTCCATGTTACATGCTGGTCTCCTCATCGACGTCTGCCGTATTTCGACTCCCACGGAAAAAACCGACGGGTTGGAGAAAATGATTGATTCTCAGCCAGATTATGATTAATAATGAGGCAACCTCAGTTTCTTACTATCCATGTCCACCGAGATCCACTGTGTCCCGAAGACACCATAGTAATCCTGGTGCGACTAAGGACGAAAGCCCTCGTTGCGACCAAACCCAATTGTCTGCCTGTCCCACACGTACGATGAAGAACCTGCCGTCGTGGAGCGGCGCAGCGACTTGTTCTGCATGAGAAAAGTCTGAACCGGTAAAAAAATGCAGCTGTTATTAACAACTGATTTAACGGGTTCTTGATAAACGTTCACAAATTAATCATATACATTGAGCGAGAAAGGAAGGCCGTTTACTGGTACCGGTTTCGTAAACCTGTTAAAAAGCAGCAGAGAATTTCATCGTTAAACTTCTTCTTCATTGCAATGAAAATAGTACAAATTTACTACAAATTACGTCGAACATTTCGACCTGACGATGCGCGTTTTCGAATATTAATGTTATTTATGATTTCAGCGGGCGGTCAGAACAAACAACAGTCTTTAGCTGCAATCAATAATAAATTTTAACGGTGAAAGTGCAGCTTTCGTCACACTTCGACGGTGGACTGGTATTTCAGCAACTGCTTGACGAAAAAATTGGAATTATGAAAAACAAATATATTAATTAAAACACATTTCATTTGTTCTTTCTAAATACCACAAAAATCATTCGTCACGGTTTTTCAAGTTTAGACATTACTAAGCGATCAACCTCTGAAAGAACTGCTGATCTTTCGCATAACTTGGAGACCTCATTAAATCGCACCTTTCCGACCAAGGTCCATGGCTGATTCTCTCGCTAAGTGGTTGGATTTCTTTTGCACCATGTCAGTGAAGAATTTTCATCTGCAACCACCTTAATAAAAATACCTCATTATTGAAGTTTATCGCTTTTCATCTGTCGTCGTGCGCTATCCTCCAGCGTTGCCCAGGTCGAAGTGCAAGCAGACGACTTGGCACCATCTTTGCTTTTGTTTTTCATTCCATTCGATCGTGATAACCATCTATACTTGCCAGGCATCTTAAACGAAAGCCTGTTTGCTCCTTACTCCAGCCAAATGGGGTTCATGGTGATGGCTCTGTGCGGCTTGGTCTGATCAGAGATGTCCTTGGTGAGCAGGGTCACAGGCATGTCTTCAGTGCTGATTTCTTCATCTGCTCCACGGATCTGACGGAAGAGTAGTACAATGGACAAGCGGCAATCCGTCATGGACTGCGGACAGTGCACAAGCCAAAGTGTATTTTGTATCCACACATCACAAAACAGGTCTATTAAAGCGCACATTGGTAATAACATCAAAGCGTACGGTATGCTGTGTCAACGATTATGTCGGTTACACAAACTTTGTGTCCAGCTGAAATCTACCATTAATAAATTTGGGCACACGTTTCCCAAACTTATTTCTTCGTTGCTTCCTTTTAATTTACTTTTAAATAATGCATATTTCGATTGTCGTCATCTATTTTGTTTTGAACAAGAGTCGGCCATTTTGTGCACTGTAATGTTAGAACTTCGCATTTGAGTTCCGGAAGCTTCGTGACTGACAAACATAATATTTTGGACATCATGCCGTCATCACGTAATTTTTATTGCCCTTGGTCCAGCTTCGAGAATGACGAGTTGTTATGTTGTGCCGTCGAGGCGGTTATGAATGCAGTTGCACTCTGGTCATAAAACAAAATGCCAAAAGTGTGACGAAACTCATTGTTTTTCATTTCGAACCCGACGGCGGCGAATTCAGTCAATGGCTATGGCCAGGTTACGATAGCGTTTGCGTGGGACAACGACGGACGATGTAGCTACAGTAAGAAAAACGCCTGCCGTCCCAGCAACAGCCAATAAAAACGTCGCTTTATTGCTATTTATAAATAACAAAAATACACGGATGTTCAGAGCAGAGCAAACGCACTAGTGAAACGCGGGTCGAGCAACAAGCTGATTCGGAAGAAGGCGAAGGCGAAGAAGACCATACTGGACAAGGAGAAGAATTTGAAAAGATTTTTGGAACCGAAGAACGAAACGGAATGGCACCCTTATGCTGCCGCCACCTCCGTGGATGTGAACCCGAGGACAGC